GTTTGAATTTTTTTTTCTGGTGAGACAGGGTCTTACTCTGTCTCCCAGGCAACAGTGCAGTTGTGCAATTTTGCCTCCCGGGTTCAAGTGATTCTCCTGCTTCAGCCTCTGAGTAACCGGGACTACAGACGTACACCACCACTTCTGGATAATTTTTATATTTTTAGTAGAGATGGGGTTTCACCATGTTGCCCAGGCTGGTCTCAAACTCCTGACCTCAGGTGATCCACCTTCACTTAGCCTCCCAAAGTGCTGAGATTACAGGTGTGAGCTATGGCACCCGGCCCTCTTTCTTTCTTTCTTTGAAACAGGGTCTCATTCTGTCACCTAGGCTGGAGTAAAGTGGTGCGATTTTAGCTCACTGCAGCCTCAAACTTGCCAGCTCAAGCAATCCTCCCACCTTAGCCTCCCGAGTAGCCAGAATTACAGGTACCTGCCACCACATCCAGCTAATTTTAAGAATTTTTTTTTGTAGAAACGAAGGCTTACTATATTACCCAGGCTGGTATTGACCTCCTGGGCTCAAGTAATTCTCCTGCCTTACCCTCCTGAGTAGCTGGAACTATAGGTGTGCTCCACCACGCAAGCTAATTTTTAAATTTTTTTGTAGATATGGGGTCTCACTATGTTGCCCAGGGAGGTCTCGAACTCCTGGGTTCAAGGGAGCCTCCCATATTAGCCTCCCAAAATGCTGATTACAGGTGTGAGCCACTGCACCCAGCCTGTTTCAATCCTTAAAACCACTGAGAAGTTGCTGTCACTCTCCCCACAGGAATAAACTAAAGCTTATGAAGAGGTGAACCCCTTACTTGCCAAAGCAGATTTTCTAAACCATTTCTATGTGTTCTCTGATACAGTATAAAGATTACAAATAGGGGCCAGGTGTGATGGCTCACACCTATAATCCCAGCACTTTGGGTGGCTGAGGTGGGTGGATCACTTGAGGCCAGGAGTTTGAGACCAGCCTGGCCAACATGGTGAAACCTTGTCTCTACTAAATATACAAAAATTAGCTGGGTGTGGTGGTGGGTGCTTATAATCCCAGCTACTCGGGAGGCTGAGGCAGGAGAATTGCTTGAACCCGGGAGGTGGAGGTTGCAGTGAGCCGAGATCGTGCCACTGCACTGTAGCCTGGTGACAGAGTGAGACTCTGTATCAAAATAATAATCATAATAAATACATAGATAAATAAAAATTACAAATAAAAAAAAGATTAGAAAGAAGTGTCAGCATGTCCACTGTGGCATTGTTTGGGGGGGTAGAGACTCAGAGGCCACCAGGAGTCCACCCCGGGAGTGGTAAACAATGCAGCTAGAAGCAGCTATTGGAAACAGTGGGGGCTGGGCGCGGTGGCTCAGCCTGTAACCCCAGCTACTCGGGAGGCTGAGGCAAGAGGACTCTTGAGGCCAGGAGTTAGAGACCAGCCTGTGCAACATAGTGAGACCCCTTCTTTACAAAAATTTTAAACATTAGCCAGACATGGTGGCTCATGCCTGTAATCCCAGCTACTCGGGAGGCTGAGGCAGGAGAATCGCTTGAACCCAGAAGTTTGAGGCTATAGTGAGCTGTGATCACGCCACTGCACTCCAGCCTGGGCGACAAAAAGAGACTCTGTCTAAAAACAAAAACAAAACAAAATAAAACTTTGTGTGGATCTTAATATCAGTGGAAAAAATAAGTAGAATGAGAAAGCTGATATAATGCTTTCGTGTAAATTTAAAACATTCTCCCAACTGACAGAGATGGG